TGAAATGCTCCCTGCCACTCTGGAGCGCCTACCGGAGATCTCAAACGAGCGACCGAGACCCTAAACAAGCGCAGAAGGTGGCGGATGCATGTAATATAGAATGATGAAGAGAGTGAGTCACGACGGCCCGGGAGCGCGGCGGACACCGGTGGCTTGGCTTGGGGGGCGGGGGGGGAGGCCACAACCCCCCTTAAATGAGTGAGGGTGTAGATTGGGGGGGGGGGGGGGTTACGGCGTTCGCATTTTGAATTCCCGCAGACGGAAGGCGCTCATCAGTTTTATCAGCGAAACGCAAAGCCGAAAGATAAGCCTCCACCAACGCAGGCGAAGGTGTCCGCGGCTCGTACCTTCTGCGTAGAGCTCGTGCGGACGTCCGTGATGTCGCTCGGGCGGAATTTCCTCCTGACCAGGATAATGCTCTGAAGAGTTGACGATTCGCCTCGGTATTTCTTTCCTGTTAATGGGAGATTTGATGTAAATTCAATTTGCTCTGAATGTGCAGTGTTTTAAAATCCTTTGTTTTGTGCTACACCATAGAAAGTTATAGCTCAGTAGAATTTAACTAAGCCTCTGTTCCTTTAGTTAATATTCATTTTTCGAAAATTAAAGAGTACTTAATTTGTAAGTGTTCATTTTTCTTTTAATTCTTGAAGCGTTGATTTTACAAATGTTGAATGCTTACCTTTTGAATGTGGTTAGTACTTTTTTCCAATGAATGTGGAGGGTGTGGCAGTTTTATCTTTAAATGTAAACTTTAGGCTGCGACTTTCCTTTGACGTATCTGACTCCGTTGTTCTCTCAACAGACAAAATGCCACCGAAGACTAAGATCTTCGTTGGCAAGCTGCCGCCAACATGTAAGGATTTTGAGCTGCGAAAATTGTTCGAACGTTTTGGTGAAGTCACAGAATGTTCAATCCTAGGCAATTATGCCTTCGTACACATGAAGACAGAAGATCAGGCAGGCAATGCTATCAGGAACTTGAACAACTGGGACCTCAATGGCTTCAAAATTAGCGTAGAGGTAGGTTTCACAGCATGAATAGTCCCAAGTATAAAGTCTGGATAATGGAGGAAATGCTTTATTCTTTAGTATCGGCATATGCTTAGTTGCACCTTCAAAATTTTCAGCAATCCACGGGAGAGAAGCGAGCAGGTGGTATGGGTGGAATGGCTGGTGGAAGAGGTATGGGTGGGGGCTTCCGAGGGCGTGGTGGCCCAATGAGGGGAAGAGGCATGGGCAGACCAGGACCATATGACCGCAGACCACCTATGGGTGATCGATATGGCCCACCTCCCCCAGGGCCCCCGCCTCCTGCACCTCCCATGAGAAATGGATATTATGACGATTATGAGCGCAGAGATCGTCGCCCACTGCCACCTGCAGGTGGTTTGGACAGGCGCCCCCCACCTCCTCCCATGCCCAGGGAGCCAGCATACAGAGATCCCTATGACCGATACGATTCGTATGAACGTATGCCTCCTCCACCAATGGGCCGACGCACCCCACCACCTATGGACAGGCGGCCACCTCCCATGGGCTATGATCGCAGAGATGACCCTTACGGAGACATGTATGGACCACGAGCTGAGTAAGTATCATGGGAGTTCATTCAAGAATGTGGAATATTAAAGTTTGATGTACAAGTGAATGCACGATTGTTCTTTTGGCAAGTTTAGTAACATGCCTGCACTTCTTATAGGCGTGACATGTATGGAGGTGGACGGGAAATGTTCCCTCCTCGTGGAAGATCCCCTCCTCGACGCAGTCCACCACGCCGGTGAGTAGGAACTGCAGTGCACTCTTGGGAATTTTGTGAAATAATGTTATATTTGGGCATAATTAATTCCATTTTGTGTGTTGCAGTGTCTTTTTAAATTAAGGGACAATTTCGCTTGCTAAGTAGGACAGTAACGAGATTAATCGAAAGGTAAAAGGTAACCTTGCGATGCCCACAGAATAATCGTCTTCAAAGTTTGAAATAGTTTCACTGTCCATAACTATCGAATCTGTTAACTTGCGATTAGCAAACTTTTAACCTATTTATGGCTTGTCTTGAGCTGGAAAATGATATGACTATTTTCATGTTCTCTTGTAGCTACCCCGGTCCTCCCCGTGACATGCCCCCCCGACGCTTTTAGATGCGAAGTAGAGGCTGACAGCGACGTGTGCATGCACCGATAATCAGATCTTGGTGGCAGAGGCATTCTATATCAGTTTGAAATAAAGTTACTAAAAGTGATTTAGACGAATGAAGTCTTTATTCATGATTGCGTCACATGTTTGAACAAACCAGGAGACTTGAGTTTTTTTTAAGTAAAACAAAAAAGTCGATATTGTTTACTTTTAAGTGTACTGCGTACCAATAAATCTAATTTTTAAGGAAACCTTTAAAAGTTTTTTCAATGATTCCTTGCGACCATAATCATATCACCACTGAAAATACCGAACAATCACCAAGAGCTCTGATTAAAAAGCGGAAACAAAAATAAGGAGAGCAGTGCAGCGACAGGTATCCAGGTAAGACCCAATACTCACGTGAGGCGACCTTCTAGTTGTCACTTGCTTCAGTATCCTTGCCTGATCCGTCTGTAGTTCACTGTAGGACCTAGACAATGTCCTGGGCCAGATGCTGTTCGACCTACTACCACCCCCACTGTTCACAAGCATCGTAAGCGACCAGACTTGTGACGGCGATGTGACCGCGTGCTAGAGGCCCGAGGCAGCGCCGGCCGGCAACATCTCTTGCAGGTGGAGCGTGTGTGAGCTTGAGCGAGATGTGAATCAGGCGTTCGAGTGCCCGGACTTGCTCTTGGACTCGCTCACTCGTCTGACTCACATTCGTCTATCAGTGCGTGATTGGCAGGTTAGCTGTTTCACGGGTGAACTAAGGGAGGCGGTGCCCTAACAAACGTCTATTGACTTTTGCATGTCCTACCTCACTTAATAGGTTATACTCTTTAGGATTAAGTACAGTCTCAGTGGCTGCTAAGAATGCTCCCCTGTGAGTATATCATCCAAGCTTTACACTTAATCCATCGCATCACCTGAAATACCCATCTTACTATCTAAGAACCATTTTGCCATTCACTCGTCTTCTCTTTGGCAAGATATTTACCGACTGCGTACATGTCTACATTTAAGCAAAGCTGTGCCTAGCTTAATGACAGTCTGCGGTGGTAATTTCAACGCCTTTTGACATAATGTATTCATATGTATCTACATTTGCTTGGGTTTAATGTCTAAAAATTCGTGCCTGTCAAATCTTCATCGTATTAGTTTCACCTTAGAGGGATACCATTAATAGATGTGATTACGCTCCTTGTAGTAAAGTCTCGTACTTTCAAGACTTTCGAAACCTGTTTTTCGATTGCCCCTTTTCACATAAATGATGTGGACGTTTTGAAGTAAATTTCCCAGCCCATAAAAAGCCTAAACTCTCCCTAGACTTCCGCGAAACCCTTCGCATCGACAACATCAGAAAACTCTTGAAGCGTCAGTTTTAAATTTTTAGTGCAGTATCCCTATTGTTCAAGGTTTTGACTATGACTAATATTTTGTTTTTTACTTAGGTTAAACTGGGACATGACCAGTATGGGTTGATGACCTCCAGTTGAACCCAGATGATGGTTGTGAAGCAGCCCAAAGCCTGACACTTTGGTGGTAGTCGTCACCTGGAATTGCAGTTGCCCTCAACGAGGAAGTTTTTGAAATTGAATCCATGGTAAATAGGAATTAATGTTACTGTACCAGTTATTTATATTTTTGTTTCCCAAATACTTTTCATCTTTTTACATGATGGTAATTAGTAAACGTATTAATGTAAATGATATTGGGGCTGATATTGTATTTTTATGAAATTGTATTCATTTTCCAAAAATTTGAATGGGAGAACTTAACCTTTTCTTTTTCCAGGTTGAGGACTGCCGTATGCTACAATTCACTTGAATGGATCTTGGAGCAAGAAAATTTAAGAGCTTCCATTAGAATAATTTTTTTGTATTTTCACTCATATTGTACTACTTACTTGGTTGAATTATAGAAATCCTCCATAATCAGTAATTTAATATTTTAAAAATGTGATGGCTCAGGGTTTAAGTAAGGTGATATTGTATTGTATGCAATAAAAGGAAATGTTGAATGAAGTATTTTATTCCAACATCCAAATGATTGTCTTCAAAACTGCTTTGTCCACTAAATACAAGTTTGATGTCAACTTTGAGAAAAAGGAATTTGTAGTAGTAAACATGTTAATTTTTGCTGTTACTATGCATTGGCAACTCCTCCCTCATATCCCTTTCTAATTGTGCTGTGCTAAGGCTTTGGAGATGAGACCGACTCCCAAGTGTAAGGGATCACCCCTGCTGTGGACCTCTGCTCTTGCCTCCACCAATTTTTGTAGTCTTTCTTTTCCTTTTCCTTCTCTTCACTTCTGTCTCTAGTTCACTCATATTTACCGTCTCCACCAATACTTAGTCATAGTGCTATGTGACCTTAGATGTCTATAATGTTTGACCATTCTGGAAATCCACGCACATCACCTTGTGAACTGCTAATGACTTGACACTGCAGAATGTTGTTTATATTTTGTATGTAAATATTTCCCCCCTCCCAATCCCTTGCTCATTGTTGGGGGGGGGGGGGGGCTAAGGGAATGGGAACCAAGGCTCATTGTAGGGGATCAGCTCTTGCCTCTACTAATTTTGCATGGTCTCTTCTCTCCTTTTCGGCTTCATCCTCTTGTTCTGTCCACTTCTGAACGTTAACTATTATTCCCTATGTCCTTAACCCCTTCCTCTTCTAACAATCTTTCCCTTATACCCATCAGCTCCCCCTCTCGAACCTTTTCACTACCTTGCCACCCTTATCTTACCCTGTTCATTAACTCATTCCTAACCCCTTTTTGCTACTATATTTTACCATAGTGCCACATTACCTTGGGTGTCATATAGAAAAATTTCAGTATAATATAATTTTGGAAGGTGTAATTAAGGAATAAGTAATAAATGGAAATTTATTAAATTCTGGAATACATCACATTACAAGAATCACAAGGGATCTTGCTTCACCAGTACAAAAATATTTGCTTTCATGTCAGTTGCACATGACTTAACAATCATTCATTAACATGCCATCGAGTTTGACAGGCAATAATCGTATCCAACAGCAAATTTGGCCGTTCACGCTTGTGAATTACCACAAGCTAGTTACTGGTGGCATTCTTTTTTACAAATCTAAGTAAAATGGATTAAATAAAGCCATAAATGGCAAAAGGCAGTGAAGCCTTTTCTCTCTAATGCATTAAGTAGTGGCTTTCATGTACAGGAAATCCACAAATTTATAGTAGTATTGGCCTGCAAGAACCTACTCACAAAGAGAACTACACATGGAATGGGACAACTGGAAGATTCTTGAATATTACACTTGCATTCTGTGAAGCAGGACATTATCAAGAATTGCAGACTTGACTGCAAAATATTTTAACTGTCAAAACTGGTACCTTCCTAATCCACAACCTTTGCAATAAATTTTATGTCCAATAAATGTCAATTGTTCCAAAATTGAAGTTCTTTACATCATCAACAAGACAATCCTTTATTTACAAAAGGCCTACAATAATTGTACCAGCAAAAATATATAAAGTTTTATATGACTAAAGACCATTTCATATTTATTTACTGTTTTTACACTCCACCCTCAAACCCCCCAATCCCTGGTTAATTGTTGTGGAGGCTTAGGAGATGCAGACTTCAGGCCCAATGTAGGTCACCCTTACTTTGAGCCTCAGTTCTTGCCTCAACTAGTTTTGTTTTCTTTTCCTTTTCCTTCTCTTCTATCCACTTTTCTTAATCATTTCACTTTTACCCTTTTTACCACAATATGTTATCAGAATGCTATATGATCTTTGATGTCTACCACATTTGTTTTCACCATTCTGGGAATCCACAAATATCACCTGAACCAAAAGACATCCTTTCCAGGGAGCTTAGCCAAACCCTATCACTATATTTGGAATACGCCATTACTGACTTTAAATGTTGACAGAAATTTATCAGTAGATAAATATATCCACTCCCAAATCACACTACTGCCTTCAGACCCCCAATCCCATGCACTTTGATGTTATACCCAATGTAGGGGATTACCCCTGCCTTGGACCTCAGCCCACACCTCAATACATTTTTTATGGTCTTTTCTTCCCCTTTCCTTTTCCTTCTTTTCTTCATCCCCTTCTATCCACTTACCCTAATCATTAAGTCATTTTAACTCTTTGCCATAATACTTTTTCATGACCTTACATGCAGCAGAAATTTTCAATGAATATAAAATATCTTAATCATTAAGTTATTTTACCCTTTTCACCACAATACTTTATCATAATGCTATTTGACTTTTTGTTTTAATCATTAACCATTCTGGGAGTCCATAAAACATTGCCCTATGAACCAACAAGCGTCCTTATCTGGGGGCTTTGCCCCCAAGCCCCACTCTACTGCTATATTCTGGATATAGTGCTAATGACATGGCAGAAAATTTTCAATGAATAAGAATACTGCCTTCAGGAATAATACAATTTAAAGAATTTAAAGAATGATTTGACAATATTCATGATTTTAAATTAATACCTATGGTAGTAAAATCTTTAACATAATTTTCAAATAATATTCCTCGTTAACCTTGGAAATCCTAGTGCGTTGTAAAATATATGAAATGCTTCAAATGCCTAAATGCAAAAACAAAATATATAATACCCAGAGAAAATCATGTTTGGTGCAATCTAACGTTACTTATTTCATTAAGTGTTAGGAACTACTGGTATCCTTGGTCTTAGTTTAGCAATTTCGGTTGTGAACAATAATACACTTGTGATGTTGAATTTGGAACATATATATATTATCATTATATTATAAATATTCCATATTTTCAAAAGTCGACAGTATCACTTGTATCAGACACAAAGCACTGGTTGTAGTTAAAAATATAACTAAGAACTGGCCAGCTACACTAAGAATGCTTAGGAGTTCATGCTATACATATTCAAGTAAACTTCACTACAGAGATGAATGTAATTTTACATTGGAATGGTAACACTAAAAAAAAGTTTTACATCCCAAAAACACAAAACAGTCATTGTATTAATATTACAGAGGTTACATATTACACTGCTCAATCATCTGGGACATGAAGTCGAGCTTGTGAAATGCCATTATCAGCACCACTAGGACGTACAGCAATGCCATTGATAGTTACCCTAGTGGGAGCACTGATCGATCGTATCTCCTTTTGATCAGAATTCAAAGCAGGTTCTCCACCTGAAATGGATCGCTGACGACGGGGAGGAACTGGTGGAGGTGCTCCTATAGGTCCAGAAATTGTAATAATAGAGCTCTTTTGAGGAGCGGAGGTTGGTACAGGTGGAGGAGTCTTTGACCATCGCCCTGCCTGGCTCTTCATGAAGCCTTTGAAAGCATCACGAGCCCAGTAGAAGTATACAACGAG